ACCCAGCAATTCCATCAGTGGGTATATGACCAGAGGAATATAAATCATTCTACCATAAAAACACATGACTGCAAATTTTCATTGCAGCACTATTCACAATAGCAAAGACATGGAATCAACCTAAATGCCTATCAATGACAGATTGGATGAAGAAAATATGATACATATACACTGTGGAATACTATGCAGCCATAAAAAAACAAGAAATGAAACTGGAGGCTATTATTCTTAGCAAACAAATACAGGAACAGAAAACCAAATACCACATTCTCACTTATAGATGGGAGCTAAATGATAAGAACACATGGACACATAGAGGAGGAACAGCAGATGCTGGGGCCTACTTGAGGGTGAGGATGGGAGGAAGGAGAGGAGCAGAAAAGATAACTTTGGGCACTGGGCTTAAAACCTGGGTGATGAAACAATGTATACAACAATGCCTGTAATCTCAGCCCTTGGGAGGCTGAGAGAGGTGGACCACCTGAGGTCAGGAGTTTCAGACCAGCTGGCCAACATGGTAAAACCTTATCTTCTCTAAAAATACAAAAAATCATCCAGGCATGGTGGCACACATTTGTAATCCCAGCTACTTAGGAGGCCAAGGCCAGAGAATCACTTGAACCTGGGAGGCAGAGGTTACAGTGAGCCAAGATCACATCACTGCATTCCATCCTGGGTAACAGAATGAGACCCCATCTCAAAAAAAAAATATTGCCTGTTTCCCAGTGTAACTCTTTTTTGATGAATGAAACAGTGTTTGAGTGACTCAGAAGTCTAAAGAGCTTCTCCTTCATATACTTCGTGCCTTGCTCCTTTGTCTGAGAAAGCTTTTTACTTCTGAAGATTTTTTTTTAATATTACAGAGTTATACTCTTCTTTATAAGCATGATTTCTTAATATACACATTTTTGGATGGGTTTCATGTGTTCTATGGTTGTATATTTGCTCCAGTATTGTATAACAAATTTTCATGCCAACAACTGTTGTTTACCATGAGAGTGTGGATGAATGTTCTTGTTTAAAGAAAAGAAGATCTCAGTGGTAACCCAAGCAACATATTCCATTCTATAACCAAAAGGGTCTTATAAAAATTTTCATTGCAATTCAGTTCTAATATGGAGCTTATTGAACCTAAAACATCTGAATTATCATATCTGATCCATGACTTCGTTACAAAAGCCCAGAATGTTAGTGAAGTATCAAAATTATGTTCATATATGTTTTGTTTTATTTTTTAAGATGGAGTCTCTCTCTGTTGCGCAGACTTCCCAGATTCAAGTGACTCTCCTGCTTCAGCTTTCCAGGTATCTGGGACTACAGGTGCACACCACCACACCTGGCCAATTTTTGTATTTTTAGTAGACACAGGGTTTTGCCATTTTGGCCAGGCTTGTCTTGAACTTCTGACCTCAGGTGATCCACCTGTAGTGGCCTCTCAAAGTACTGGGATTACAGGCATAAGCCATTGTACCCAGCCCATAAATGGTTTTCATTTAAGTACACTTTGTTCAGTGCTTTCTTAGAGAAATTAATAAATACCACAAAATGGAGATAATGGCCTTTTTGCTATACTATCATAATTATTACATGTAATATAACTGCTTTCATATTAAATTAACAGGAGGCAGGTTTACAAATTAAATGAATCCTGAATATTTATCTGTATAATATTGGTTTTCTTATCTTTTCTGGAAATACACATAGGTTGATTTTTAAATTAACTCATAATGTTCCCACTAATTAAAAAAAAATTTAACTCAGAGTGTCATTTACAGCAACATGAATGAAACTGTGGACCATTATATTAAGTGAAAGTGCTGAGTGAGGCCAGTACAGAAAGACAAATGTTGTATCTTCTTACTCATATATAGGAACTAAAAAGACAAGACTCTATGTCGTGGAGATAGAGAGTAGAATAATAATAGATACTGAAGACTGGGAAGGGTGTGCCTGTGGGTGGGAGAGGTTGTTAATGGGTACAAACAAACAGCCAGTGAGAAGGAATATGTTCTAATAATGTTCAATAGCAGAGTAGCATGATCATAATTAATAGCATATCATATATTTTAAAGTTGCTAGAAGAGAGGACTTAAAATATTCCCAGCACACCCCAAATACCCTGACTTGATCATTATACACTGTGTACATGTAACAAAATATGCATGTACTCCATACATGTGTACAACCACTAGTGTCAATAAAAACTGCTTTGTCTATCATATATAATCTCCTAATAATTTGTACAATTCTTTATTACCATCATCATTACTGAACATTTTTTATATAATTGGATGATCCTGGTAAGTGGTAAGAGTGGTAACCATACAACCGAAAGGGGGAACGTAGGTATGCATCCCTTATTTATTATCAACATTTTGTTGTAGGGCTTTCTCCTCAGTTCAGCTGAAAGCCAGGTTCTTGTTGCATGGCCATGAGAGATTAGGCTCGCAGATGCTTTGAAGGGTGAGAAAAATAGAATTTATTGGGCAAAAAGGAAAACAAAGGATACAGGGACTCTCAGCAGAGTGGGAGTACTGCTAGGATAGGCTTTCCACATAGTAGATTGAATTCCAGGTTCCACCCTGGAACAAGAGAGGCCAGGCTTCCTAGCAATTTGGGAGGCTGAGGTAAGAGGATCACTGTAGCCCAGGAGTTTGAGACCAGCCTGGGCAACATGGTGAAACCCCATTTCTACAAAAAATACAAAAATTAGCTGTGCGTGATGTTGAGAGCCTGTAGTACCAACTACTCAGGAGGCTGAGGTGAGAGGATCACCTGAGCCTGGGGAGGTAGAGGCTGCAGTGAGCCAAGGCTACACCACTGCACTCCTGCCTGGGTGACAGACTGAGATCCTGTCTCGTCCAAAATAAAATAAATAAAATCTAAAGAATGGCTTTCAATTATTATAACAGATTTTATTCATAATAGTATTGGGAACTGTATTTCACTTGTTACTCTGAATAGTAGATGTAAGCCTGGTGGGGAGGTGTCTACTTATTAGGTGAGATTCAGAAAATGTAAAAAATTACAAACTCTAATTTCTGAATTTCAAGCATTTTAAGATTTAAAATGTTTGTAAGGGAAAGCATAGAGCATGGAATAGAGATTCCCCTATACATTTTCATCACACACAGAAGAGAAAGCAGGCCTATAAGCTGAACCAAGATTAGAGAGATTTTAAAAGATTTTTACTTAGAAGAATTTCTCATATGACTAGTTTAATATGAATAATATGAAAGATCCATACATAAGATAACAATTTAAAAATTTCTAAGAAAAATAAAATAGTTCAAATGTCTTTGACAATCAGCATCCCATACTTTGATACTCAAATGATTCTATGTTGGGAAAAATAAAAAGATAAACTATTAATAATTTAAAAATACAGAAAATATTACCTCCCATGAAAATAGTATAATGATATAATTAAATCATGTACTTTACTTTTCTAAAAAATTAATACTGTGATCTAATATTTTATCCTTGATCTCTGGAATATAGAACAAATGCAAATAGTGAAAATGTTGTAGTTTTCTAACATCAAGTATGATTACTGAGACATTTTCTCCATTACCAGCTGTCATAATCAAAGACAAAAGTCCTTGGCTACTCTACTTAGTAAAGTAGGTAGTTCCTAGGAGCTCTTCTGATGAATAATGACAAGAATCCCAAGCCAGTTTCACCCACTGAACCAAGATACAGTAAAGCCACAAGAATCCAAATGTTCATCTGTCAAATCTCCTCATTTTAGAAATAAGAAAATTGAATTACTGAGAATAATATCTCTGAAGTCACATCAATTGTTTTTGTTTTCTCTTCTCTATGCAACGGGGCAAATATAACAGACCAGAAATTTTCCACTAATACATCTTCTAAGGACACCAGAGTTTTTTTCAAAGTGGTCAGAGAAAACAGAAGTATATTCAACAATGTAATATTCCCCACTAATGCGATATGTAATATTTGTCAAATACGTGTTACAAATTTACACCGTATAATGTGTACTTTGAGAAATTGGATTATCTCATTTAGTTACATCTAAAATACATTAAATTAGTTACTATTAAGTGAATTTGTATAGGAAAATAATTCATAAGATGGTCATCAGATCAAAGAGGAAACCTGATAATTACTGCTTTATGTGATTGATTTGAAATGAAGCTTAGGTTAAAACTATAAGGTAGGTTTTTAAAAACATGTTTTCATGTAGTTGAGAAAGGACAGGAACCTATTTTTTTCTCCACTCTTTTCTTCTCCATCATCACTTCTTAAGTTTCTAGTATAAATCTCAACATAGAAAACAAAAAGTATAGTTTATAATTGACTGACCAGGAAACAGAATGACAGAGGGAAGCATGACACTTCTATGAAAGACAGCAAACTGCCCATGGTGTAGAACAAAAACACTTAGCCTGCGTCTTTAGCCAGTTCATTGTTGCAAATCATATTCAGAAGGTTTTATTCTGCATGTTCTATCTATTGGACAAAAATTCCAGCACTGGAAATAGGAGTCATCATTTGCTTATGTAGCTGGACAGATCACAGGCTGTGCTGAAGTATTGTGTTATCTCTCCAACCTTGTACTATGCAAAGCATCACTGCACATTTCTGAAAATCCATTAAGACTATGAAAGGCAGGCATACAAAATAATATAATCCATGCTCCATTCTGGTCTTAATGTAAAGCCACAGAATTGCTTATAGCATCCCAAATTCAGCTTTATGTTTACTGGGGGAAATGCCTACCTCATGAAGGCATGGCCCTGCCCTATTTGTACACACTTTTAGGAGACAGTGAAATAAAACATCCTTTTGCAAAGCTTGATAGCGAATCTCTGAAAGGAATAGAAGCTTTCACAGACACTGTTTGAATGAGTTCATTTTTAACTCTGTCTCAGTTAGGCATATTTCATTGGTATTTCAAAAATAAGTGTCATATTTCCAATCTTTAGACCTACTCTTTGGAATAACTGGATCTCTACATTTAATTTTTCTTCCAGCGTAAGAAGCAAGGCTGAATGGATGGTAGCAATAATCACGTGCTTTCATTCTGTGGTCGGCAAGAGGAGGAAAGAAACAAATGCTGATGGGTTTATTCTATGACACTACAGCACCAAAAGGTACAAAAAGTGTTTCACTATTTAAAAAAATGTATTTTTAGCCACATTAGCTTCAATTCCTCTGAACAAAAAATACTTAACTAATTGACTTTTTATTACACAACTGCTGTATTTGAATGACATAATTAATGAAGAAACAAATGTGAAATGTGTTTCCATGTTTACAGTTATTTTTTCAGTCATTAAGATAAAATCTAGCCCCCTTTGTATGTTCATTTTTTGTAAGTAAGAAAACTATTTATATTTTTCTTGTATTATTTCACCATCTAACTGCATGTCTCTTTGCTATAAAATGGCTTTGATCAACTTGATACCATGGATATGATGGTATGCACCTGTAATCCCAGCTACTCGGGAGGCTGAGATGAAAGAATCACCTGAGCCTGGGAGATACAGCTGCAGTGAGCCATCTGTGTGTGCCACTGCATTCCAGCCTGTGTGACAAAGTGAGATCTGTCTAAAAAATTTTTTAAAAACATACTTCTTTTGGGGACAATTTAAAGGCATAGGGAAATATTCAGGAAACATTTAGGGAGAAAAAATAGGGTATATATTTTTATGGAAGGAAAAACTGGTATTAGAAAGAAAGTCATATTTTTAAAAGATAATAGAGATATCTAAAAGTATGCTTTCATAATTTTTTAAAAAATTGTATTATATTTAAACTAAATACCATTTTAATGTTCTAACAATAATCTGAGGCAACAAATTTATTATGAAGCATTTCATAATAGAATGAAGTCTCTCAAATAAAGTCATTTAATCTTTTGAATAACACACAGCTTAAAATTTAAGTTTTTGAACAGTCTGAAAAACAATGAATGAATGTCATTTTTTTAATTGAGAAATAGTATATATGAAATATTACTTTTGTTGAAAAACTCCAGATATATGACTGTGTCCTATGAAATCAAAACTGTATTTGATTGGTCACCTACAAATTGCTGAACACTGCTAGACATGGCAAATATATAGCACAGAATCACTACCTTTAAGGATTAATGGGAAAAGAACATATACAAGTAAGGAACTGTCAGTGTGTATGAGTGGTGAAACTTTGTGAACCTATACAGCTCTAGAGGTTGTCAGAGGAAGGGCAAGATCATTTTTTGGAGGCATGAAGTGGATTGTCAGTGGTTACTTCTTACGGGAGATGATTTTTAGCAGGGTATTGAAAAATAAATAATAATTCAAAAATTCAAATGAAGACTACTAGAGCTGTGGGGTATGTGATGTTAGGCAAAGGAAACAACCTGGACAAACGTGAGAAGGTTTGACATCATTCTAAGGCCTGGGGCCAATGTATAATTCAGGATTGTTGTAGAGAAAAGTCCAGTGGGAACGAAATGTAATAGGAAATTTAACAGAAGGATAGGACTTTGGAAGATAATGGATTTCTTGTTAGGATTTAGTTTGGCTTAAGATGTCAGAAATTGCAAATAATATCAGCTTATAGAAGACAGCATTTTATTTCTCCCATCCATGTTATTGCCTGAGGAAGCTGGTCTATGACAAGTTTGGAAGCTCGGTGATGCTGCTAATAAATTCAGGGTCTCTTTTGCTCTCTACTCCACCATTTTTTGCATCTCACCTCACAAGTTCGAAGAGCTGATCTAGCCCTAACCCTCATATCTATAATTCAGTTACTAGCAAAGAGAAAAGGATGAAGAAAGACATGCTACCTCTCTGTCTGTTCTGGATGCTATATAAAATATCATAGACTGAGTAGCTTGTAAATAACAGAAATTTATTTCTCTTTGTTCTGGAGGCTGGGAAGTCCCAAATCAAGGTATCCATAGGTTCCAATATCTGGTGAGGACTGCTTCCTTGTTTATAGACAGCTATCTTCTTGCTGTGTGTGTCTTCACATGGTAGAAAGGGTAAAGAAGCTCTCTGAGGTCTCTTTCATAGGCCCTTAATCCCATTCACGAGGGCTCTGCCTACCAAATCACTTATTAACAGCCCAACCTCATAATACCTTCATATTGGGGCTTAGGATTTTAACATACGAACTTTAGGGAGACACAGTCATTTAATCCATAGCACTGTCTTTAAGGACGCTTAGCAGAAGTGGTACATGGCACTCTTGCTTGCATACTATTGATCAGAACTGAGGAATAAATTCACAGTGAGCTAAAGGGAAGCTGGGAATTTAACCTTCAGTGTGGTCAGCTGTGCATCTTCCAAAGATGGCAGCAGGCAAGTGGTCCCATTAGGAAAGAAAAAAGAAAAATGGATATAAGAGGTCAACTAGCAGTTCCTGGCAGGCCATCCTGGGATTCTTATAATAAATCTCAAAAGGCATAACCAGGCCGAGGCGGGTGGATCACGAGGTCAAGAGATCGAGACCATCCTGGTCAACATGGTGAAACCCCGTCTCTACCAAAAATACAAAAAATTAGCTGGGCACGGTGGCGCATGCCTGTAATCCCAGCTACAAGGGAGGTTGAGGCAGGAGAATTGCCTGAACCCCAGGAGGCGGAGGTTGCAGTGAGCCGAGATCGCGCCATTGCACTCCAGCCTGGGTAACAAGAGCGAAACTCCGTCTCAAAAAAGAAAAAAAAAAGAAAAAAGGCATAACCACTGCAGGCATTAAGAGAGGCTAACATGGCCAACATGGCGAAACCCCGTCTCTACTGAAAATACAAAAATTAGCCGGGCGTGGTGGAGGGCGCCTGTAATCCCAGCTACTCCAGAGGCTGAGGCACGAAGAATCGCTTGAACCTGGGAAGCAAAGGTTGTAGAGAGCCGAGATCGTGCCACTGTACTACAGCCCGAGCGACAAAGCGAGAATCTGTCTCAAAAAAAAAAAAAAAAAAGATTCTGGTGGCAGGAGTAGAACAATCAGATTTGTTGAGGTACAAACATGGATTAGAGAGTGGCCAGTGGGGAGAAAAACTGGTTAAGAGGCTATTGCAGTAACCCAGACAAGAAATAAAGTAATGTCAGTGGATACAGAGAAGGGAGCTTAGGTTTCCAACGTAACTGGAAGATAGAATTAAAAGATTTTGATGACTGGTTGTGAAAAGATGAGGGAAAGAGAGGAAGGGGGAGATGATTCCCAGAAAATATAACAACATGCAACGAGGTAAGAAAGAATTCAGAAGTGGACTTGGCAGAATAGATCAAAAGCATCTCAACTGTGCAGAAGTAGGCTTTACACTTAAAGGTCATGGTTGCTGTGTTCCCATGTTTTGAAATGAATTTTGGTGGTTTTTAATTTTACTTCTATTTTACTCCAAATCATTATTACAGTGTCTGTGTGGAAACATCAATTGTTTACAAAAACATGATAAAGATTTAAAGAGAGGGTTTCAAAGTATATGAGGTCATAAATCTTCCCAACTTAAGCTACTTTAATCTCAGTGCAGCAAATCTGTGGTTTGAGCTGTTATTATAATGACATAACTTTTATTTACCAGATGTTTTCAGATATAAGGAAATAAAAAGCACTAACATCACTATCAGTAAGAATTTGTTGTCTGCTATTTAATTCACACATATGGTAAATTCTCCTAAATTTTGACTCAGTAATTACCCTGATTTTACAAATGAGAAAAAATGATCCAGAGAAAATTTATTTAACATGCCTGAGGTCAAATCAACTAGTAAGAGACAGCCCTATGATTTAAACCTGGGTGTGTCCACACTCTTGAAAGCTCCATCACCCAGGCTACACACTGCTTCTGAGGTGACTCTGTTTCTGAAATGGAAAGAAAGAAAAGGCAAACTAATGATCTTTGAAAATGTGACAACACAATTAGTATGTTGTATATGAAAAACAGGAAAAAAAAAAAGAAACATTCACAAAGTAGTTCTCTCTATTGTTTCTGTACTGCAGAAATCATGCTAAATCTATTCATTGTATGCACTACATGACATCATTCTAGAAAAACAGCAAAATAGCTGGAAACCAAAGACGGGGAATAAAAACGTCAACCATCTGCCCATTGATCTGCAGCACCCTGGTGTCAGACCAGGCCTCCTCCCTTCAGCTCTCAGTTTTCTGTGCCAGTTATGGAGGTAAAATCATAAGTTATGTTTTTTTTAATTGCTTATTCAGTATTTTTAGTTGAATATTGACATACTATGATCGCACATATTTATGGGGCATAAAGTGATGTTACAGCATATGTATAAAATGTGAACTATTTGAATTAAGCTAATTGACTTAGTTATGTTCTTAATAATTCAATCAGAAAGTACAATCTGTCCGTTAAAAAAAGAACAAAAACAAAAACTAAGTATATGCAAATAATCCTAATAAGGTAAAAAAAATTACATGTTTTCCCTCAACTTACTTCTCAGCACATATTGTATCTATTTCAGGCTGGTACCAAAAAGTCCTTCCCCTCTGCCTTCCCACTGTAAGAAATATTGTTGTGCTTTGGTCAAGGAATAGGCTGAGGTGGACATCTGGGCCAAAGTGACTCAGCAAGTTTGGAATGAAGGTGCACAATTCCATGTTTAATGCAAACACAGCTATTTAGCCATAACGTGGGAAGGTCATCCCTTGGCCCTAAGCCACGATTGTCTATAAAAGGTATAAGTGCCCTGTTAACATTGTGCAGGCACACTTGCACCCAGAGAAAGGGAGAGAAAGTCAGAACTGTCCATCTTTGCAAACGGACGGTGAGAGCCAGGTGAGCTCAGCTCACCCATGCCCAGAAAGAGGAAAGAATTAAGCTACTGACCCTGGAAGGCAAGGAAGAGCTGGCTGTGCAGCTCTGTGTGGGAGCCGTCAGACTAAGCAGCCGAGACAGGGTGGACAGTGTGAGAAAGCTGTTGATGAGAACTGCTGCTGAATAAAAGCATCTTTCACCTGCCTATGGCCCCCCAAGTGTTCTTTCTGCTCATCCACACACTCCCTTCAGAACTCAACATGGCAATTGGCATAGTCGTGAATCTGACACCTGCCATCTGCCATTTTGTTTTTCTTCTCCAGAAGTACTGCCTGTCTTTCTACCACTCAAGCTTCCCTAGGAGTCCTCTTTGCTTCCTCCTTCTTTAGGTCTCCTGCTCAGGCTGTCAGTTAATTAGGTCCAACCAGCTTTTGCCTGAGGCAATTCATGGGAGAGTAGACCTTAGGAGAGTGGCAGGAAGAGGTGGGGAAGTGTGACTTTTGATCTCCTGCGGTTCAGTGAAAATATGCTGATCCTCCAGGTCTCTCATCAGAATGAAGCACAGCAAATCTTTCTCTTGCTGACATTTACCTCCTGTGCTGCATCTGTCTCTTTTCTCCTTCTAACCAGAGCGGAATTCTCTTAACCTGAGACCCAGGTGGTGGTGGGTATGATGTCTCCAAACTACCACATTAAATGCTGGAGAAATCTCAGGCAGTAGATGTGTCCCAGACTGAATATGACCTTCCCTGCTTGGTGCATCAGGAAACCAACTAGGAAATGTAGTTTTAGAGATGTTTCCTTCCAGCAGTCACTTAGGAAGTTCGTTGACATAGGCATTGGTGTCTGGCCAGTTAACACTGGGATGAGGCAGCACAAGCTAAATTTTCCTCATAATCTGGAAGAATGTATCATGGCCTCCACGCTTCAGAAATTATCAGAGGCATATTTGCTGATTAGTGTTACATAATAATCATCCCACCTTATGTTTAAAACTCTCTTGTATTTCAAACTTTTTTAAGTTCTCTTGCCTAAAATGCAATATTCCAAAAATAGGTAGATGGCCTGAACTTTCTCAACACTATGCAAGTCTGGAACTTGTAGCGGTAAACTAGATTAATTCATGCTAAATGATAAAATCATTTCCAAACTGAGATTTTTTTAAAGTTCTTTTTTAAATAATTTTTTTCTTCCTAATCTGTAATAACCATTCTTGAATCCGGACACATCTAATTTGTATCCACAAATTAATAATAATAATAAAACAACAAACATTTTTTTGAGTATTTAGTTTCAGGCATTGTGCTAACCAATTAAAACTATATTCTAAGCCTCACAATACTTTCAATACGTAATGAGTAATAGTCCCATTCTACAGCTGAATAAATAGAGGCTTAAAGAGTTTGAGATACAACTGGAGATTATATTGCTATTGACTGTCTATCCCAGAGTCTAAGATCTAAGCACTATACCTTACTATTTCCCTGGTGTCTAATTAAGTGAATACCTAGGATATGTCTCATTGACTCTATGGACTAGTACTTGCATATTATAGATAGCATTTATATTAGCAACTACTTCTTGAAAATTCTAAAATTTTTATAAATGCAGTCTTGTTTCCTGTGATAATTGCTTGGTCTTAAAAAATTTCTTTTTTTTTTTTTTCAACCAAAAGGTAAAAATAGTCATCAAAAACTCCCGCCACACAAAGGATCTTGCAACATGTGATCTAAAAAATACTTAAAATAGGCTGGGCGCGGTGGCTCAAGCCTGTAATCCCAGCACTTTGGGAGGCCGAGGTGGGTGGATCACGAGGTCAAGAGATCGGGACCATCCTGGTCAACATGGTGAAACCCCGTCTCTACTAAAAATACAAAAAATTAGCTGGGCATGGTGGCATGTGCCTGTAATCCCAGCTACTGGGGAGGCTGAGGCAGGAGAATTGCCTGAACCCAGGAGGCGGAAGTTGCGGTGAGCCGAGATCGCGCCATTGCACTCCAGCCTGGGTAACAAGAGCGAAACTCCGTCTCAAAAAAAAAAAAAAAAAAAAAAAAAAGAAATACTTAAAATAAAGGCCATGATACCACAGAGCAGCTCTGAGATACATCAAAGTGCCCTTGTCAAGAGAGTTTAAGTCTTTAGATAACTAAATGATGCAAGCTAGCTCGGCACCAGAAGTTTCAGAATGTGGCAGGAGAGACAGAGATACTATTGTGGTTTTGGAGCCCTTTCCTCCAAAAAAACATTAGATGTAAATCATTTTTCTGAATAGATTCCTTTTAATAATTTTTGGTCTTTTCTTTTAAGCATGGAGAAAGTATATCACCCTAAAATACCCCAGCGAAAATAGGATAAGAAGTCATTATCAATTCTTCCTCATGGGCATAAAAGAATAAATTTACTTATTGATATTCTGTCATTTGTTTTTAAAGGAGAATGCACCTTCAGCTCCAGAAATGTTTTGTCCATAGACATTAAAAGTGAAGAGTGCAGAGTTTTCAGTGAAATATGGTAATTTGTTGGCATTGCAAAATTATTTTGGATGTATGCTTCTAAATCTCTTTGGCAAGCATAAGGAAACCAAGAATACAAAATTATGACATCAAATTATATCAGAACTCTGAAAAGTGTTTTTTACAAACGTAGTGAAATATTTTGGGAAAATGACTTCAAACTTTGTGATTATGCCCTATTTATACCAGCTGATGAGACTGTTCATAAAATAGAACAGCAAGTTAAATGATTGAGTCACAGAATTTTGTCTCATATATAGAGAATTTAAGGGAACATAAATGTGCATTTTAGAATACAAGTGCACCTTGTGAACTTAATAAAATAATATGAAATTTAAAAAAATCTCTGGAGTAGAGGCAACATTTTACCTCTATCCCCTAAGAGTCTCCAGCTGGGCCTGAGAATTCAATTGACATAAGACAGATTAACAGGGGAAAAGCATGCATACTTTTACATGAAACACGGAAGCTCCCATATGAAAATGAAGACCCAAAGAAGTGGCAAAATGAAGTGTTAATATACTAGGTTGAGGAAAAAGAGGCAATTGTAAAATAATAATAATAGTAATAGCAATATATGGGAGTCTGAAGGAAAATAAGAGGTTGTTGTGGTTTGTTGTTGTTGTTTGTTTTGTACTGAGTCTGTTTGTGTGGATTTCTCTTGGCCTCAACTCCCCATCTCTTATGATAAGAATGTTTCTTTTCCCCTAGAATGAGGTGAAATTCTTTCCCACGGGAGTTTTGCCTCCTGTCTTTCTTTTGCACTTGCTGTTTTGCAAGTGCTTTTAGCTCAAAATAATCCTTATGCCAAGTGATGTATTTTGGAGTGGCATAGTCTGCCATTCTTTATCTTTCAATTACAACCTTTTGGGAATGAAAAACTACATAAACATCCATTGTTTTCATTAATAACTTTCACCAGAGATTTATTGTTGATCACATAATGTGGTAAAAAAACATAACTAAAGCATAACTTCCAACTGGAAGTCAGGAGGTCTCAGTTTTTATCCCAGTTCGAAACATAATTTACTTCTAGGTGCCTCAGGGTTTTTTTTGTTTTGTTTGTCTTTTTTGTTGTTGTTGTTTTTTTTTTTTTTATTAAGTTAAAAAAGTCATACTTTATAAAATCTAAGATTCTTCTGAACCCTGTGATTCTGTACTACCTTAAAATATCAACAGCTGCTCGGTTCTTTTCTCTAGGACTGCTCACTGCAGCATATTCCCTAGGTATTACTTTATAGCCATCAAGAATTCATCCACAAATACTACATGTTAAACCCCAAACAATTTCTCTTAATTAAAAAAAAAAACCTGCTTGGTGGGTATGGTGGCTCACACCTATAATCCCAACACTTTGGGAGGCCAAAGTGGGCGGTTCACTTGAGTCTAGGAGTTTGAGACCATCCTGGGCAACCTGGGAAGACCCTCATGTCCACAAAAAATACAAAAATTAGCTAGGTGTGGTGGTGCACACCCGTAATCCCAGTTACTCAGGAGGCTGAGGTGGGAGGATTGCTTGAGCCTGGGAGATAGAGGTTGCAGTGAACCAAGACTGCACCACTGCACTCCTCCCTGGATGACAGAGCAAAACTCTGTCTCAGAAAAATAAATTTTAAAAATGTAAAACAATAAAAACTGCTTAAAACATATTCAAAATAAATCTTAAAAACAAACTTTGGATAGAACGTTTTAAACTTTCCACCAACATTTAGGGGGAAAGCTAAACAGATTATTTATTTTTATATAAATTAAGATGCAACCAGTTTTACAGTAAATATGCCCTTAACAGCAAGGACATATTATCCTGATGTTAAACATGCTTGACAAAGAGAAAATTCCCACTGTTCATTAATTTCATGTATATAAAAATATGATCCAAACAATTTTA